GTCAAAACGTTGTACATTTGCTGTTATGTTAAACTTGTATTAAAGTTTTTCTTCATTACCCATTCAAGCCATCTTCAGCCATTATTAGTCTCAAAGTGATGACTAGCTGCCTTCCCTCTAGTCTTAAACTGCTAAATTAGGGACGGCTAGTGCAGATAGCCCTTGTGTAGCTTTGCGCGAAATTCAAAGCCAACAAACAAACTAGTCAGTTATCAAGCCAACTGAATTACAACAGTCAATGCTATAGTTGAAATGCTATTTATATTAGTCATATTAGAGACATTATCTTCTTTGTCTTTGGCCTATAACACCAGCACTAGAAAAACATTGTTCTGATGAGAGTAACAAACATTATGAAATATCACAATAAGGCTGATAATAATTTTAAAGACTTGACTAAGTACTAGATTTCCAGTAAGAGACCAGCATATTACAGAAATGAAGCATTGCCTGATTTGGTATTATACATACAGCTTGTTGTTTAGATAACTTCTATAGTTAACTTGTGAGTTTCTTTTATGTTTTAGAGATATGTTCATGTTAAATTATAACACAGTAGTTTAAACCTCAGTTGAAATTATAATACTGGCATTTATATCATGCTTTGATTAATTAGTCATGTAGTTAAACCAGTATGATGTTTTGTCACACTAAAAGGCTTCCTTAAAGAGTATAATACTGAAATAAAAAAAATTATAAAGAATATTTTTTTGCAACTTTCAGTCTTGGCAAAGAAAAACTATTTTTGTTAACGACAGTGTTCATTAATGTTGTATTTTTGTCATGATAGTAATATTATAATTCCCTCTATACAATAATAGCTCAGATTTATGAAAATATTTTACTTTTATCTTGAAAGGATAAATGTATTTTTTCTTTCATTACACTGAATATCATTGGATATTATATAAAAAAAATATTTGTTGATCCACTGATCTAGATGTTATGCCATTGAGGTATGCCATATTGAAAAGTTTTAATATGAAGTATTGGAAATAATTATGGAAACAGTAAATAAAATGGATATAAAAATGCAAATATTATGGCATAGCTCACTCTATGATATGAAAATTAATGACAAAATATAGTCACGTTTTGATAGGTTACAATGTACTGGCTGTTGTCCAATTAGTCTAGACAAGTCTAATGCCTATAAAGGTACAAGTAATCATACTAATCCCAGCAGTACTTTGGTGATTGCATTCTTGGCTCCGAGGGCACAGATACTACATAACAAGTATTTAGAGATCAAAGTTTTGGCTGGGAAAGGCTGCTCCATGTGATAGGTAGAGGCAAAACTTAACGTTTTGGTATAAATTGTATGGAAACTCTGAAGAAAGTACAATTGATAATAGAAGCAGTCAAGGTAGAACACCAAAACTCATCAAACAAGATTTTTAAACACTTAGAAAAGTCAAAGAATATCATATGACACCAATCTTTTGGTTATAGTTCCAAATGGCTCCCTCCTTTTTTGTAATACATCTAAAAACATTTTCCAGGAGAAGAAAATGAGATTAACTGATAGTAATACTGTACATCTGTTATAGACTAATTTTGTCTGTATTGATAATATTGGCTATCATAAATTTCATCTACTCCAATATCAATAAAACTGAAATTTTAAAAAATGAGGGATTTTGGATAATATGCATGTTAATGTTCAGTTGATATGTCATAGCACTGTGCTGTATTTTACAAACACGTGCTTCTCTGCAACATTGTAAAAATGTAAATCTTGCAATAACACTGATTGTAAATTAAGATGCACAGCTTAAAGTATAATGGTTCTAATATCTTACATTTAGAAATGTATATTCTGACACAATACCTAACCTCCTGTCACGTAATAGCATTCCTAAATTTGTGCTGCCCCGTATGTGTGCAATTTTTGCTTGCCACTAGCCTTGAGGCTCCCACCTAACATCACTTGTTTAATTGTGGTATAGCTGCATTATAGCGTGCAAATGAGTATACAACAACCCTCCACCAATAGGAGTGTGATACACCGTACTAGCACATCTGACTCCCTCTATACTAGGGAACACAACCATCACTTCTTGATTTCGCACTTGTATGAAACGCCATGTTTTTTCTTCACTCATGAACTTTTCAGAGATAGACGTTTTTTAGATAGAAGCATCTATGAAGACATAGCCTGTTGTAGAAGTATTTATTGTTGTATTTTTGCTTTCCAACATTTTCTGCACCTACATATTTTGTGGCGTCTTATTTCCACATTATTATTTTATTAGTATCAGTAACTTCCACTATGTCTGGTGTGAGACAACGAGAAATTCTTCACACTAGTATCACACCCACATTGGCATCAAATTTTTCTTTCTCTTTTGGGAGCTGTGAAAGCTTTTGTGCAGTGGGTGGTGGAATAGTTCATGTGGTCTGTACCTTCTTTCGTACCTAGCATACCTCCACTTATGTTTCTCATGCATGATGGAAAGGATTTTGTCATTTTTTTCCCCACTACCTACCTTTGTCTTATCTTATATCCATGCTGTCTTGAATATACCTAAGCCTTTTTCATAATTTCAGGACTAGATTT